CCCCAGTGTGTGATGCTCCTCTCCCTGAGTCCACATGTTCTCGTTGTTCAACACCCACCTTTGAGAGCTCAACCATTACACACACTGTCCTCTTCTTTGTCCTCAGTCTTGCGTATTTCTTGTATCACCATCTGTCCCTCTGTTCCCTCTTTGCTACCGAGGAAGGGCTAGAAGAGAGTACAACAGGAAATTTTTTAAAACCTAAAACCCAAAACATCATCAAAATAATTTCTAAGTGCATGTTTCCTTTCTTCGGGTTTTTGGTTTTGTTGTTGTTGCTGTTGCTGTTTTTGAGATGGAGTCACTCTGTTGACCAGGCTGGAGTGCAGTGGTGTGATCTTGGCTCACTGCAACCTCCACCTCCCAGTTTCAAGTGATTCTCCTGCCTCAGCCTCCCGAGTAGCTGGGACTACAGGCACCTGCCACCATGCCCAGCTAATTTTTGTATTTTTAGTAGAGATGGGTTTCATCATGTTGGCCAAGCTGGTCTCAAACTCCTGACCTCAGGTGATCCACCAGCCTTCACCTCGCAAAATGTTGGGATTACAGGCGTGAGCCACCACGCCCGGCCTGAGTGCATGTTTCCTGTACTAAAGAAACCACACTTCTGCCTCAAACAAGAACAGTCTCCTCAACATCTTGCCTCTTTGCCTGACTCACAGCCTGAGGTCTAAGCTCCCCCAGAATTTCTAGTCTCAGCAGAAAGATCAATGACAGGAGACTCTCCAGGTGATGAAATTAAACAATTAAGTAACCTCAGTTGGCATCCTCCCATTTGTTCACCAGCTCACCTCCTGTCACAGGCATATCCTATTTCTCTCAGCCATGTATGCACAACGCCTTCCATAGGGCACACAGGAATTTGGAAGAATAGAGAATCAGGCAAGGTATAGCCCACCTAGAGGGCTGGAGTATGGTAGCCTAGGCCTGGACATCCATACATTGGGAACTTTGTTATGTGCAGGCAAATCACAGGTTCTGCACACATATGATTTTTTGTTCTCCCTGAGAACAGTAGCGTCTTTTGTAGAATTCTAGCTTTATTCCGTTGCTTTCACATTGGCCAGCAGTCAAAAAACCTAGTTACAAATATCCTACACCCAGTCTCTGACTGAGGGCTCCTGGGGATGGAGGTTAGGGCTCAGGAGAAGGTGGGGTTTTTGCACAGATGTCTGCCCCACCCAGCTCAGTGTGACACTCCAGGCACAGAGATAGAAGCCAGAATCACTGAGGAGGAGCTTCTTAGAACTCAGGATGAACTGCCCGTCCTGGGGCCTGGAGGCTGAGAGATTCTGGGGCACCTCAGAGTTGATCTGGTCAACACTAAGTGAGGAGAAGAGCAGCTGGAGGCCCCTGTCTGCAGACTGTCGGTACCAGTATAGGTAGGGGTTTGATGTCCCCTTCACGGTGCACTCCAGAGAGAGCGGGCTGCCCACAGGCTGCACCAGGGTCGCTGGCCATTGATGAATAGTCTGAGATCTGGCCCCTGTGGGGAAGATAAAGAGCCACTTACAGAGAAGCACCCTAGCCTGGCTTGCCTTCCCCAGACAGAGGGGCAGCTCAAACTCTTGCATGGCACAGGCACATGGAACCCATCATGAGGAGTGGATTGGGGTGGGGGGCGCCAAGGATGCAAAGCATCACTGGGCCAGGAAAGATCAAACTTTCTCTCAGGAGGTAGAGAGAACCAAGACTCGTCAGGTCAGCCCCTAAGGCTAAAGTCCCATATCTATTTCAGGCAATCAGAGGAATAGACTCAAGAGAGTCAAATCAACAGCTGAGACTCTGCATTCACTGGGTTAGGGTGAAGGTAAGGATCAGAAAAGAGGCTTGCCAGAGAGGAGGGCACCCACCGAAGAAAGTGCCCAGGAGAAGGACAAGGAGAAAGCAGAGCATCATCCAAGTCAGCCTTTCCTTCAGTTAGTCTGGGGGACAGACGCTTCCTCTTCTGGGCCAATGATGTGGCCAGCCTGCTTCCTCTGGGAGATCTGCTGTCAGAGTAGAGAAATCCTACCCCTTTGAGCTAGGGAGGAAATGAGGCTAGCCTTTTTTCTAAGAGCATGGTGAATCACCCCCAGCCTCCCTGGGAACCAGCTGTACTCTGCACTTATTATCTTCTTTGCATTCCTGCTGATGTCCTGGTATGTAAATATATTTAATGACTCATTATTTACCTGTAAACTACCGGTTAACTCTCTAGCTCCCCCAGGAGACATCAGAAGCCTGGGAAACCTTCAGAGAAACTGTGATACTGACAGAATGATGAAAAAAAGGATTTTAGTTTAACTGAAATTGGAAACTAGAGCTAGACATGTTACCTGGGAGATAAAAGGATTAGGGCTCAAGAGATTCAGGTCTTTTGGGGTAATCAAAGCAGAAATGCTCAGTTCTGAGGGCACGAAGCTGCTATGACAGCCAAACAAGGGATCACCTGCATCATCCTCATCCCTGGCAGCCAGGTTTTGAGACCTGGTCAGGCAGAATTCACTCCTGAACTGATCAAAGTTGGACTGTGCTCCATGTGCCTCCAATGGCCCACCTAGATCTAATTTATCCTCTAAATGCAGCATGAGAATCAGGAAACATCACGGAGCCTTGGAATCACAAGGATGTGAGTTCATGTCACAGCTCTGCTTCTTGCTGGCTTGGGAACTCTCAAGCAAACTCTGATTCTCAATTTTCTTATCTATAAAATGAAAATAATCATGACAATACCTAGAAACTGTTGAAAGATGCATTGTGCCTGGTGCACTGCAGCCAGGCACTCTTACATGCGTTGGCTTTTTTTTTTTTTTTTCCTCCAGGAAAAGCATGTGTCTGCAGCAAAGATTGGAAGATTTACAATGAATGGGGTGCAAGGTGCGGGCTGAAGGGACCACAGAGCCACAAAAACCACTGTCAAGCCACCAATTCATAATAGCTAAGGATTCGTAAAAGCTAAGGATGGGAATCTGCTAGGTAGCTGCTAAAACGTCATACTGCTAAAATAGGACATAGGAGCCTGAGATGCCCGGAGGACACCGGCACGCCCTCGGAAGCTCCTCTTCCCTCTGCCTTTGCCACACTCTGTACTCTGAAGGATTCATTTTCAGAACAGTTACTCAGTTTGGGTTGGATGTGGTGGCGTGGTTTGAGATGAGAACCCAGGAAAGAAAGCTGTAACAGCTGCTGAACAGGGACAATAAGCCCTAAGCAAATAAAGCATTTGTAACAGGTTCCCATTTCATCAGAGCCTAGTGATGTCATATACTTGTTATTGTTGCTGATGCTACAGTAACACAATTCCAAGTTAATGTTGGGGTTCTTGCTTCTGACAGTTTCGGCTAGAACACATTTCTTGTTTGCATTTGAATACACCATATGTATAGGGAATGTTTTGGTTTTGGTCTTTTCTAAATGGAATTAATCCTCTTATAACATTTATTTAAATGATAAATCAAGTGGTAAATGTAATTTGCTTGTGGTGAACATTTGGAACATATGATGAAAAACAGCTATAGCCAACACAAGAGCATTTTTCATTGGCTGTTCCACAGTTGTTCAATCTCAGTTTTTAATAAATCTGATAATATAATGTATATGCATCTTAAGATTGCAGGGAGTGAGGCCAAAATAAATATGTGCACACATAGCCTATTCCTCCCTTTATTTCCATTTAATTCTCTTTCCTCTTTGCTTTCGAAATTTTTATTTAGTCCCAAGTGAGGATGGGGGTGGAGAGAAAGTGGACAGGGGGTGGTGAAGAAGTGGTGGGAGATACTGGGGGAAAGAATGAGAATTGCTCTTGCTCTCTAGGGGACCACATCATGTTTTCTTTTCGTTGGCAGTCTTTAACACCAGCATATCCCATGAGATCTGATTTAACTCATCAGCTGCATCAGCTCAGTGTCACTGCCATGTGTAGAGAGCAATGCAATCTTCCTTCTTAGAGATGTTGCAGCAGATTGGAGGGTGAAGAGACGTTATCAGTCAGATCAGAGTAACCAGCTGGCTCCTGGCTCCCTGATCATTGTCACAACTCAGTAGCTAGAAGCTCCTTCCATATGGCTGATGCCTTTTAAAAATATCTTCTCAATCTCCATCCCCAACTGCAATACTGTTCAGTTATTCAATCACTTAAGTATTGAAGTGAGGATGGGGATATGATCCCTCTGCTCTGTGTCAGTAGGTCTACAAATGGGAGAGGCCTGGCACACATCTGGCCTAGGTGTGGAGGTGTCCTATGAAATTAAAAGCTGTCTGGGACTGTGTTGTGCTCTCTCCTTGCCCTTCTGGTCATCTTAACATGTTCACCTCTTTCCCAAGCCTCCTTTCAAATCTTTTTGTTACCTTCTTTGGTTTTTTCCCTCCATACTAGATTCTTAATGAATCACTGCCAACAAGAGAATGCTTTATACATGAATAGAATGGCAATAAGAACTAACCCATCTTTTTAATTTTAAAACTGAAATATATTCCTATATAATAGATTTGGAAGATACTTGCAAAGTCTATTTGTTCCTCTACAGAAGAGTTAAAAATTAACTGGGCTAATGGAAAGAAGGGAGAGTCAGCCAATTAGATGTTCCTGAGCTTCCTGAGCTTTGACTTACCTCTTCTTGTCCACCTCCTGATCAAGGAAAGGGATGAGACAGAGGTGGAGAGAGAAGAAATGGAAATTCAAAAGTTTTGATGACAGAGGAAAATTGTGCTTATTTCCAGAATGAGATGAACAAGGTCCTGGGTCCCTACATGTCATACTGGTTACAGACTAGTAAGTAGAAATGACTTGTGGTTAGCGGAATAATGGCTCCCAAGGATGTCCACATTCTAATCCCCAGAATCTGTGCATACGTTAGGTTACATGGCAAAGGGGAGTTAAGATTGAAGATGGAATTAAGGTTTCTAATTGGATGTCCTTAAAACAGGTAGAATAGTCACAATTATCCAGGTGTGCCCCATGCAATCACAAGGGTCCTTCAACATGGAAGACGGAAGCAGAAGTAAGTCAAAGAAAGAGATGTGGACATGGAAGCAGGCAAGAGAGATGCCATGCTGCTGGTCCTGAAGATTAGATTGAAGGGGGCATGAGCTAAGGAATTGTTGGACTCAAAAATAAGTGCCTCTTCAAAGGGTTTGGTTTATTTAGTTCCCACGTTCTTTATTCCCCACCTTCAAGGCCAGACTTTCTTATCCTCTGGGCCTCCCTGCCATAGTTTCAGCAAAGAACTTTTCTGCTCCTCCTAATCTACAGAGCCCACATCGGCTATTCACTCTGTAAATTATCCCTCCCGCCACAATGACTCTTCCCACCGAAACTGCCCTTACCACTCATTACACACACCTCTGTGCTCTTCAAGTTAACCAATCAGATTCAGCTTAGATCGTGCTGTCCAACTCCAGCCAATGGAGGCAGGACACAGTAACAAGAACAAACGGTATTAAAAATAAAACCTCTTCCCTTCTTTGTTCAGTGTGCTCTCATGGCAACCAGCCCTGTTAGCAGCACTCTTCTGCAAAAGTAAATGTGCCTTATTGAGAAATCCTTTGCTCGAGTGCTTTTCTTTGTGACTCTGAGCTTTTATTCCCAACAGGAACGAAGGTGGCCTCCAGAAGCTAGAAAAGACAAGAAAATGGGTTCTCTTCTAGACCCCTCAGGGAAGAATGCAGCTTAGCTGACACCTTGATTTTCACTTGGTGAAACCTGTGTCAGACTTCAGAATCACAAAACTGTAAGATAAGTTTGTGTTGTTTTAAGCCACTAAGTTTGTAGTAATTTATTATAGCAGCAGTGGGAAAATACATGGCTCTAGAATGTATCTTAACAAAAGGACCTGAGGTAGTCCCCAAGAATCCCTAAAGATCTCAGGATAGATCAGGAATGGCCATTTTCTCATTCAGAGGAAAACAGATTAACTGAGAGAAGCCATCAAGCCTGAAGAGGCACCATGTTCGAAATGTACAAGGCACAATGCACCCACCATGGATTAACACAGCCTGAAGGACAGACAGACACACCAAGGGTCAGCAGATATCAGTGTAGACAGGTGGTGATGACTGTGCAAATGAGAGTCATGAAGGAAAGTTAACGACCAAAGGGGGAACCAAGTACCTTCCCCATGATGGCTTTGATAAGTGCTTTTATGAGTGCCCCAGAATTTAGACATTACCCAGGGAAAAAAGGAAAGGGAGAAAAGCACAAATTTTCTAACAAACCCCTGAATTAATCATGTATACCCCAATAGAACAGGGATCTAGATATAAAATAATTTTAATTATAGAACACAAAATTATATTTTACCCACCCATATTTGATGCCAGTGAATTTCACATCTAGCTTACATGCACATAAAATTCAAGCTTAGATAGGTGGAAAACAGAAAATTAAATAAGAAGTAATATTTGCCTTCTAATAACTTATCTATTTGGGGGAAGTAAAAGATAGAAAAGTAGTTTAGATAACAAATACTAAAAGAGTTTAGGAACTTTTGCTTCCACTTATGATGAAGGAATGTGTACTCAATCAGTCCACTGTGTAATTTTCCTTGAGCTGCTGTAACAAAGTACCACAAACTGGGTGACTTAAAACACATGACATTGTCTTATGGTTCTGGAGCCTAGAAGTCTAAAATCAAGGTGTCGACAGAGCTATGCTCCCTCTGAAACTTGGAAGGAAATTTTTCCTTGCTATTCCTAGCTTCTGGTGATTGGCTAGCAATTTTTGACATTCCTTAGCTTGCAGCTACATAACTTTAAACTCTGCCTTTGGCATTACACAGAAACACACATCCCTGTGTGTTTCTGTCTTCCCATGGCATCTTCTTACAAGCACATCAGTTATATTAGGAGTCCGTAGTACGTAAGTACGACCTTATCTTAACTAGTCACACCTACAATGACCCGATTTTCAAACAGAGTCACATTCTGAGGTACTGAGGGTTGGGATCTCAACATATTTTTTTCTGGGTGGGTGGTGGGTATAATTCAACCCATTATACCCCCCAATAATAAACAACTAGAAGACAGGACAATATACATTAGATAACTGTTTTCTAATATTGGACAAAAGATGGCACAAGACTGTGATCCATAAGAGAGAGGAAACAAACGACGTGTGCAGTGTGAT